AGTTGTTAACGGGAGTAAGCGACAAGACTTTACCATATCGTTTGAAAAAGGGCGTTTGGAGCGTCCCCAACCTGTTTTCTACGGATACTGAAGCGCGTAAGGCTGCGTTCATACTTTGCGACAGCGTGCAGCAGCGGCCACCAATGTCCAAGAATGTATGGTAAGGTAGGAGGGTAGCATACGGCTGGTAGAGTATGGAAATAGGAGGCAGCAGTCAGCTGGATTAGGCATCGTGAAATTGCGGCGTGTGCAACCGCACCGTGCAACTTAATGCGCAGAATTGTGAGTTTAATATTTATATGGTGCTGTGTACTAGTAGTACGGTGCGGTGTGGTTGCCAACACCGCAACCCACAGCGCCAATCCAGCAGCCTGCTACCCTCCTGCTTCCCCATACTCACCACTCCTAGACGCTGGTTGTCGTTGGTGGACACTGCTGCAGGATGAACACTGCCTTAGGGGCAACAAGTGGTAATTTACTGGTACGAACGATATGTTAAAGTCTTGTCGCTTACTCCCGTTAACAACTGGTGAAGAACGGGTTCGTACCCAGCCAAACCCAGACCCCTTTAAACGCCCCCTACACTCTACAATTAAATTTCTAGCAACTCACTTGTCGCAAACCGAGCTTTCTGAACATATCAATGACGGTCTCCATTGGGGTCTGATCGGTTACTGCCATCGGGGCCTGAAATGGTTATAAAAAGCTGTTATAAATATTGCTGAGGAGTTAAGCCGTCGATGAAGGGGAATCGGGAGAATCGCGGGAACGTCAGAATCGCATGCAGTGATAGATCTTTTCCGACAATCCGCGTAAAGCGCACATAGGGCGCGGCTGAACAATCGGTTCCCACCTAGACTTTTCGCTGGTTCTCATGTTTCCGCGATTCTCCGATTTTACTAAGAGGAGAATTTCAGTTAACACGAATAGAATCCTCTGTTTTATCAAAGTCGTTGTGCGCGAATGCAGGCCAAGAGTACAAAAGAAATATCAGTGAGTAGCCAAACGTACGAGATCTATTATTTTCCTTAGCCTGAGTGGAGCTGGACCTCCTGCTGTTGATTCCGGAACTTGGTTAGTAAAGTAAGCTATAGAATCTGTCACGACATATGGTTGAGTTTTGCGTGCTGCATGTAGCGCCAGTTGTAAGTCACGCCTGAAACATCAGAACCGTGTGAAACTCG